ATAACTACATGTCATTTTGGCGAATCTTAATATAGCTAAAGAACCAACAATCTCACTGTGAGAATATATTTACCTTTAAGGTAGCAATAAGGACGAAGCGTGTCACAAATTGGTTCAGACATATTCTAAAAGATATAAGCATGTTAATAATATATCACTATACACCTATTCTGTGACACACACAAAAAAACATAGCGAGAAGAGGTTACTGAACTTCCGACTGAAATGTATGCAGTGCACTGTCCACCATAAAGTCTAATTCAATGTGTCCCCCTGCTTTCGATGGCCCATTCCCCCGAATATTACGAACGTAATTTCTTCTTCCTACTGATTCAATTTTATTACGATAATGGACGATTATTTCCTGGCAATTCATTTGTTTTGAAAACCCAAACGCTCCTTGCCTTTCACTCTGTCACAGTGATCTCAGGTCTAGTCGGGAAAACGTAACAAACTGTATTGGTTCCTTAACACGACACAGTTGTCATTAAATCGCTACGAATGGTGAAACGATGTAATAAAAGTGTTACCTTGGATGTAACAATCTAATATATGTCATGTCCTAAAGTAAACAGAGAAGTAGACACCATGATGTATTAAATAGCGGCAGTCGTCACGCCGCGTCCTGTTTGATATAGGACTCATAGCGACGTACACAACGCGTGTAAAATACATTATTTGTTACATATCTTCTTCTTTTACACGCTAACAAATGTGTTCCAATATCCATTCCTTTGTTGAACGCACTTAAAGGGCGGCAGTCGTCGTGCCGCGTCCTGTTCGATATGGGACTCATAGCGAAGTATACAACGCGCGTGAATTACATTGTTTATTTACATGAAATTCGAACACGCGCTGCGCGACGACCACCGCGCTTTAAGAGAGGATTTTAAACTACATTTAGACATTTAGTAGTAACAAATAAAAAAAGCAGTTGGAGTTTATATCCTATGAGTATTTCCCCGTATCACGGACATCTCACTACCTTCAAATAAGACTTATTGTTTTTCGTTATACCCTAACAAAAACACATCCCCCAACCCGAATAAGCTATATATACAGATTTATGGGCACTCGGAGTAAAGCAAAATATATTTTATTGATTATATTCAGGCTTCACATTGTTGAAATATCACAGCTTCGTCGCGCGTGAAGCAATGTTTGAAAAATACGACGACGCACATTACTTTCTTAGTATAGGTATTGTCAGGCTTCACTTATCATAAGAGTGTATCATAGGTGTAAAGAAAATAGTGCCATTAGTCTGACTCCAACCATAGTACAAATCAGAATAGTGGCTAAACAGTGAGACAGATCAACCAATGCTCTCTCTTTTAAAGCGGGAGGGTCGTCACCTACGCACGCGCAGGAATTGAGTCCCAAGCGACGATAACAACACACGCTTAAAAACGCAAAGGCTCATGGGTAGACGCTAGTCTGTAAACAATGAAACGATATGGCCATCTGACGCATGCGCAGGTGACGACTCCCGCTTTAATTATTCTAGCTGACAGCCAATCAAGCTGATATCAAGATGACGTAGTTAAAGATGATTTTTTTATTAATTATTACAACTAAGACATGAAAGTACTGGCTGTCTGTTTCATTTCCCAAATTCTTACTATATAGGTCGTTTCCTTACCCCCACAAATGATTATTTGTAATCAGGCAATGACGTCAGAAGTATTAGACATTGGCGCCATGGGTGTTAGATAATGATGTCGTAAGTGTTCAATGCTTGAACAGTATTTGGTTCGTAACCACAAGAACAAAACACAATTTCGAAAACATCTGTACAACGATAGTGTGAAAGCTTTTCAGAAAACGAGCGAAAGCTTTATGAGTTAATATTTATCTAAACGTTATGAATAATAAATGATGATAGTGTGATGGTTTTTAAAACATTACATTATTCATTATTTATGTATAACGTTGAAAATAATCGATGGCATTTACTGAATTTACGACTCGCATGTTTTGTAGATATTACTGCACATTCACTATATAATTTTAGTATACTGTAAATGCATTAATTATTTGCTGGGTTTTAGTTTCGCTATTTTTTACTAAGAAGTAAAATACACTTAATTAAACCTACGTGGACATGTAAACAACAATAGACTTCAATGCTTCACTGGTAAGTTTGTGAACTTAAAACCCAGTAAAAATGCACTAAATATTATATAGTGAAATTAAGCGTCAGGGAAAATAAATGGTCTTAACAGTATGGCGATTTCTTTCTGAGCACAATATACACAATATAATTAACCACAATACGCCTGTATCGAGCTACCGATTTTTCATTAAGACCATTTATAAATACAAAAAAAAAAAATTTATATTTAAATTATGGACAGCTCTTAGAAAATGTGATATGGAAACCGTAAACTATAAACAACTGTTTTTCACAATATTATTGATAGACCTACCTTTCCGAGCATACACTGTTAATTTTGAACGTTTATTTTTCAAAACAGCCAAATCTACAAGTCTACTAAAATTAAAATGCTTCGAATTGACACTCCTTCCATTGTTTTACATATACTACACATCTCTTGAATAATTATTCCGATAATGTTACGTTTATCTATCAATTTGGAAATTTAATATTTCCTCGCGTTTTTAAAAATTTTCTTAAGAACTGTAAAAGTGCCCTTTTAGCGCAGTTGACGTAAAGGCCCGCCACAATAAACGATATCAAACGTATAAAGCGTCTCAACTACTGTATAAAGAAATATGATGCAACACGATCATTAGAACGATGTCGATTTACAGGTCTTACCTTGCATGGAGCGTGGTAGAGTGCTCGACAAAATGTCTTCAACTTCTCTTTTCACTTTTTAAAGAACTCGACAGTATAAATTGCCGCTGTCAGAGCAGATGTGGACCAATGTGCGCCGGGCATCTGTACTGAACATGTTCAGCATTTATCCGTTGCCATAACAACACATTTACATCTTTCACCGACACATGCGCTACGCTTTGTATCTCTTTAATAACAGTCCATGCATAACCAGAAGAAACGCATTCGTAAATGTTTAATCAAAGTAATCGACAGGACACAGGGTCGTTCATCAACGAGTTAATTGGATATGCTTCAGTTAATTATCCACGATCAATTAGTCATACAACCATTGTTGTATTCAAACATTTTCATGTGTCGAAATTGAATGTGATGCTGAAGAACGGTCACTAAAATGAAAGTGCAAGTACTAATCGTGCCACAGAAACCATATTCTACGCCCGGGACAAGACAGTGTTACCATCTCCTTATCATTACGACTATTCCATGGGTTGTCAATCAGAGTTAGTCCAACAGACACCTGCGGGTCTTTCAATTTTCCACAATGGCGCACCAGCAAATGACAAGCGGAATCATGCGGCAATCGAAGTCGTGGGACAGCGATGAGGTGGGATTTTCAGCTTTCTATTAGCGAAATTGGGCAGCACTTTATGACGTCAAACTAAGTTCGATTCTTGTGGTAGTTATGCGCGTTTCCGTCAAATTTAATCGTCATGTTTCATAAAAGACGCAGCGCATTATGGACAATTCATTGTTTTTTTGTAATGGGACTCGTCAACGAACATGCACACAGTCCGAGATAAGGATATCCATTACAAATAGTCAGCATTTGTACTACAGTATAATGCAATCGAACGTGACAATTTCTCATACCCACTGACTGTAGATACACACACCATACCCACGCGCCGTGGGTGTTGAAAACAAATTGTCCGCGTCAACTGTGGCTGACGCCGTAGTACGCAATAAGTCCTATAAAGCGCCATTAGAGAGCGCTGACACCGAGACAGTAAATATCAAACAAGCAAAACACAAAGACATAATTCAATATTGCTCGTGTATTACACGCATCTCAATACTAGCAGCGTATATGCCATGGATATGTTACCATTGTATTTGACGGACTACTACATTGGGTCACGTCAAATTATTGTACATACTTCATAAAGAGGGCGCGCTTCTAAAAGTATGGAGTCACGTCAACCAAAACGAGGTCAGAAGGCCTGAAAGGATTCATTTCCAGTCAAGATTTTAAAACAAAAATATCTTCAATTTTCCAACATATATTCATATTGTCGTTTTTGCAATTTTCATTGAACATCGAACATGCAGTCATCGTAAATTTTAGGGCGGACACCGCCTCTTGCCGTCGCTAATGACAGTTACAATAGTCTAGTTTCCAGTTATAGCGCCATCAGTCGTACAATATGCTATAAAATTCTAAAATAAAATAATTGACCCATCTGGACATATTTTTTAATTGCTACATGACATGACCACATGATCAAAATTTAAGAACATATTGTGGACACAATTATGAATGTTTATTTCATGAAATGAAAACAAAAGTTCACTTGAGCTTTACAAAAACATTTTATCTTATGACTTTTAACTTTTAAATATTTGATTAAATATTTTTATTTTATTTATGCTTTTTAGCATTTGTTAACAATTGTGTCGCTGTTTAGAGTAATTTGTTATTTTTGTTTGTTTTACTTTCTGGTTCTTATAATTGCAATTTTTGGCTTTTGGAACTAGAAACATAAAAAAATACATATATACAAAAGAATAAAGAGTTAACCACAATTCCGAACACAATCACGCACACTATATGAAGAACAATATGGCGTTCTATTTCAACATATATATCATGTCTGTTTTCAAAAATCACAAAAGCACCGTAGCGTCTTGGGGCCCTAATCTAACACGCAACTGTTGTACTGTAGTAAGATTTGGACTAAATGAAATGCTCCAAGATATAGACGTGATATTTACGGGCTATTGTTGCATAATATCATCAGACGCCATCGGCCGTGCTTTGATCATTTTATGTGTCTCTTACATGAGCAGCAGCCGTTACTACACTGCAATCCCAACAATTTTGCCGAATATATAATAGTGATAACTTTTATTTTTCACCATGTTTCTGAACTTTTGATGAAAAAAGCACTCAACCTTAATAAATAAATCGTCAGCATTAAAATTACGGAAAAACATGCTTTATTCTCAAAACCACAATGATCCATATAAAAAAGACATTTTCTCATAGCATATCTCATTATCAGCAGCGTTACTTAAACTCTTGTAAAATAAGCTAAAAAAGCAATATCATAATAACAAATAACAAGCAGTATTTGGCTTAACATTCACTCAGGTACACCAATTTATTGGGTGTTCCAGCAAGTCGAGCCCACGGGGCAAGAGCAATCTTGTCCTTTGTGGAACTGAAAAAAATAAAACGAAATGATAATTTGAAACGCACCTATCATTGAACGAGAACAATTCTTATGCATGGTAAAGCGCACGAGATATATACTCACGCAGAATCGAGCCACGAAGCAACAGCCGACGGTGATGGCGTGCTACTCAAGCTACTCAGGTATTTAGCAACGACACCGGCCTAGAAGGAGAACAGTATAATAAACAAGAGCTGGAGTTCATTTATAATGCAGTTTATTTAATATTTAATCTTTGCAAAGATTAAAAAGAATATACTTAATCCACACAGTTATAAATTAGAAAGCAGAGTCTAGGAATACGCCGTATTCTAGTTTCAACGTCTACACGTTCTGTTACTCGAAACGCCCCAGAACTTGTATATATTAACCCCAAATACATTATTGCGATACTCACCACGTGAGGGGAAGCCATAGACGTTCCTGGAATATAGAGAGATAATGATGTAATACCATGAAGAAATATTGAAATATTCAGATACTTCAATATGACAATTATTATTATACATCTGTCACCGTAACGCCATAAGTTACAGCGTACCGTAATTTTGTGGTATTTTACGGGGTATTTTCATCTTACCATATTAGGAAATGCGAATTCCAAATATGGAAGGTTTACGCGCGTAAGCATCCTCTAATAGTAAACAAACATGACAGCCACCAGGTTTTGACCGGACTCCACACAAAGAAGTACGCTGATTCTTTTCTAAACATTTTGAATTTCGACATTCCCATAATGTATCCTTGGAAGGAAAAGATGTATAATAATAAGGTTATTACGAGGATACCTCAAAGTATGCACTCAGGCAGTACACCATCGCATCGACCTGGGCGTCGGTCGATACTCCCGCTGTACTGTCTTTGTGCATACTTTGGGGGTATCCTCTTAATAACCTCATATTCTATTTCATTTGAATATCAGGTTCACGAAGCACAACTTCCGCCACTGAGAACAAGTGTTGACGTATAAATTACCACCGAGGGCGCTGTTATAAAAAATAAATCATACTTCACGTACCTGTTATGGTGGTGATCGAGTAATCGGAATAGATCCAGTCTGAAGTGATGCCCTCTCCCTAGAGAAGAATAAGTGTACACATTAACGAAATTATCAAGGCTATGGTGAACGCATTTTTTGTTAAATAAGGGGTTTATATCAGTGTGTTTCCCTCTTTAGGTCGTCGCACCGTGACGTCATTGTTTTGCCAACCTGCATGCGGATGTATGATAACAAATGACGTTGCTGGTTGGTTTATTAACAGGGGCACATATATAGGTAAACTTGATAACAACAATGCCGTTAATTTTTCTTCGGGTGCGAACAACCTGTCACTGCGCACGCGCGAAAAACGTAAACAAGTGCGAAGGCAACAACTTTAATTGAACGTTTGTGAAAACGCGCATTCACGAACACAGTTTTGAATACTTACGGGAGCTAAAATATCAACACACTTGCCGTAGTTTGTACCTTCCCATTGGTAGTCAGCGCTGTTAGTGGCACCAACTGTTATACTGAAATAACATGAGTATTAAGTGTTACATACTGTCTTCTGTAAACATTCGACGCGTTTACATACCAAGATCCTGCGAGAGGTGAGTACATTTAAACCCACTTGCCTCAAAACACCCGCGATTTAAACACGTAAGATGTTACTTTGTGCGAAAGTCGGATTTCTAAATCAAAGTTAGGCACATTTGCATATTCTGTGAAACATATTATTATGCTTATTATTCAACACTACTTACGCAGTAGGTTCGCTTGCTGGCGAAGTGTCGCATGCATCAGCTTTTTCATTGCCTGCGGCAACCACAAATGATATACCCTGCAAAGAAACGTATAAACACTATTTACATATTCAGAAATAGAGTAGCTGGTTAATGTTCCAATGGAAGTAATGTTTTAATCACTTTGAATAATGTTCAACATTTTTTAAGATCAAAAAGTAGTTGTCATAGTGCGAATGACTTACTGACTTAACTGCAGCCGCCACAGCTTCGTTTTCAGTTTTCGAATACGCGCCACCTAGAGACATGCTAAAAAACACAGTTCAAAATATTTAATCAGTAACTATTATTATACTACGTACTATATTTACCAATGACAGAAATAACTTATCATGAGGTCGAGAGAGGTAATAAGCACGGACCTCAACACATCGTTCTTATATGTTGCGCCCGCTAGCGACGCAACGCGACCATAACGAAAATAGGTGTAATGCACACCGTTCACATCGTTTTGATATCTAGTCGTCCTTGAATGAAAAAATAAAGTTTTTGAGATATGGCCAAATGACAATCGGCTGCACAACTAGAGTTGTCACTTTGACCGACATTGCTTACACCCGCCTACATTTTGTGACGTCGAAGAAGCGCATCGTCGATAGAGGGCGCGATTCATAAAATTTACAAATTTACAAATCTTACTTTGCAACAGATCCTTTGCTGTTTTTGTTCTTCTTCATCTTCTCGTTATGGTTGTTAGCAACCCAATTAATTCCATCCATCACCATCCTGGGAACATTAACAAAATAAGGTTCATAAATTTGCAGCAGTATAATTAACTATAACTCTATGATGCGATAAAAACAAAAAAACGAGAAACTGCCAACTTACTTAAGAGTTCCGGAACCATCGGCATCTAGTACACGCACTGCAACTGCTGTAGCTTTCTTAGCCAATCCAAACCTGTCTCCCATGATAGTACCTATATGGATGAAAAATATAGTACACCGTTCTATTATTGTGTTTCACTTGGTCGACATAGGGACAGGTACGCTGTTAACCGCCGGTTATAAAAAAACTGACAAACTAACAGTCGGAATCTTGTGATTTTTTTAATTTATTTAGAGACAGGAAATACATCTTTATTACATTACATTACATTACATTACATTACATTGAAATAATTATAAATTTAAAAAAAAGTAGCTTTATATTTTTTCAAATTGGCAAAATCAAGAAAGCTGGCTTCTGGGCATTTTTAAAAAAAAATTTTGTACCCAAACCACCCGATTGTTCTAGTGACGTATATACTTGTACATACCTGCAACATGGGTTCCATGGCCATTGAGGTCAGTTTTAGGAGATGGATTTTCAACAGTATCTGTGCCCTGAAAATAAAAAACAATAAACAAAAAATATATTACTGTTTAAGAGATTTTTAATTTATTTCTTCGCAAAACCATCAGTTTATATGGATTGTTCGAAAATTGTGAACGTAATTTAAATAAGAAAGTTACCCAAACAGCTCTTCCACTAAAATCTTTATGACTTAATAGTATACCCCTAAAGAAAAACAAAATAATAAAATAAAATTTTAAATCAAGTGAGAGCAGTGATTAATCAACGTAAATATATACGTTTATACAACATGACAAATGACTAGTGGCAACTTAATTCTGAAGGGAAATGTCCCACATATTATTCAATATTTATTTAATTTATTTATTTATTTATTTATTTATTTATTTATTTATTTATTTATTTATTTATTTATTTATTTATTTATTTATTTATTTATTTATTTATTTATTTATTTATTTATTTATTTATTTATTTATTACCCCCCTGACATATTGTACTATTGAGATGTGCCCATGAATTGATACGGCTCTATAATAAATGGCTTACGCCACTAATGTGCATATTTATATTATGTGAGTCTACTCACGTATCCAATACATAAGCATCGACACCTTCCCCGGTCCCATCTGCAATAACAATTGATGATATTATTAATCATTCTGTCATGGTAGCGGAAATCAGTAGTAACATTTGATGTAATTTATTCACTTAATACGTACTATCCAAAACGCGATTTATTATTTTTACTTACCTGCATAGCGGTACACTCCACTCAAATTCAAAGTTCGTTCTGTAGTTCGTACTAAGCCCTGAAAGAACCAACAACATGATGTAATTTTAACGGTGATACTGATATGGAGCAATTCTTCGGGTTTCTGTTTAACAATCCCGCCATTGCCGTATATTTTAGGCTTGGAAGTGGAATTCACTTCTCACCTCATTCACGTATTGTGCAACTATTAAATCATTCCAGTCCAAACAACATAAGACCCATCAGGATTTCTAGCAGTCTTTCAAAATGTACAATGTTTGTATGATGAATACAGTAAGTGACTTTAATTACCTAAAGATCAAACATCCTGGTACTTTCGATGTGATGTTGTCATATCAACGCAAGTACCAGGATGTATGACCTTTATGGGTTAAAAAAGTGGTCTATTACACACGCCACTCAAATATATAAAACTGGTCAAATCTCCCACACTCAAGCTTACTTTTCATTTAAGGCAAACACGTTTAATTTTGCCAAATTGTCTATATAAACGTGTTTCAATATAATTTTATTTTTTACAAAATTCAATAAAAAATACTTTTCGCTCAAATCTCGATGAAAATAGATAAATTGATGACAAGCATTCATATTTGTTAGTATGAATACCCACAAAAGCTTTACGTTAAATTCATTAAAGTAGCAGCGCTACGAACGGGTGTAGTAAATTTATTTTTATTCTAGTGAAATATCCTCTATAAATCTCCCAACCTTGAAGTATCAACTCACCCACTCTGCAAATAATTGTTCATTACAAGTCTTTGTCGCCTTGACAACCTGTGAAAAATTAGATGCTTCACTATTTGTTCAGTTCAATTCAGTAACGTGTTGAATAAATACGAACATTGACATATGATAACATTCCAACCAAACGTGTTACGGATACTGACTAAGAATGATCTCATTATTCAATCTGAACACTTGACTTACGTGATTCGCCTCGATATGTTTCACTTCAGGAAATTTTCGCAAAAAATTCACAGCGCTGTAAGGAAATATGTGTATGAAATTCACTCTAGTGTTTTTATTTTAAATAAAAATAAATACTTAAATACTTCGATGGTACGACAGTATCAAATGGTCAGTCAATATTAACTCTCGGCGGCCCAATTTACTCGGGAAATGGCATGGATGTGTCGCATGCACCCCCAGATGGTACTTCTTTCCAGACAGCCAAAATGCAAAATAGCATACCCCTTTTCAGTAAATTTTACCAACAATTTATATCCCTTTCAGACTATGGTTTCTATGGCTTTAAATATGCTTTTGAGCGTTTTTTTAGACTTTGTACTTACAATTTAAGTACTGAATGAGGCAATAATTGTTGACACGTTTCCGAAACTTTTGCTCAAAATGAGACCTCATTCCAACCACTCGCATTGGTGTACAGTTTTCCAATGAATGTGCCCCCGACATCTAAACCGGAAACATCTCAGCACACGTGATTGAGGTGCATGATGGACAACCAAAAAAAGAACAGATCTCCAGACTTACGCCATGTTTCCCCTGAAGGCATATGCTTTGAAATCACCAATGACATATTCTCTATCTATTCCAGGGTTTTCAATATCCATTTGATCTTCCAGCATTGGTTGCATAGTTCGTACATGCTTCAAGACTGAATTACAAAAGTCACCATGAATGATAATAAATAAGTACGAAGAGTTCTTCTGATTTCATAAAAACTACTACTACCATATGAGAATGCGGGGGGGGGGGCGTAAGGCTGCTAGACTATTTGCAAGAAAAAAGGTAAGGAAAAATGTAACATTGCTAAGTCAGAACAAAGATAGTGGCATATTTCCCCCTCCTCTAAAATCTATAAAGGGCCATATGTTCTACTGGTCGAAGAGGTGCTAATTCATTACTCTTGTGACCTAGAAACATCCAGTCCTAGTCAGTTACTAACTGCGCTAGTTAGTCGATTCTGCATAACGATATTTCTCAATCAGTATTAAGGTTTTCCCAATTACAACACTTCGCGACAAGACGTGACAGGCCCGTCACACACGTTGGCAAATACTAACTATTTACTTAGACGATTTCATCAATGTAAATACAGACAGCTTGTATCAATGACCGAAAGTTGAACTTTGTATGAGTTAACGTGATAACACAGAACTATATGCATCCAACTATTTGTAATCTATCTGTATTTTCTCAATTCAAGTTTTTCGGCATTTCATACCAGAGTTTCTGAAGTAGTTTTGGTGTTTGCTTACCTTCGTCAGTTGTGGTGTTGGGATGAAAAACTAAGAAATATTCATTTTCGATTTTATTCTCTAGATGTAAATTATACAAAGGAGCTGTAATTTGAAATAAGAAAATATAATAATGTGTTAATACTCATTAATAAATTATGCATAGTACATAGCGGGTATTTCAAGCGGATGTCGGCACGTACATGTCTGAAAAAAGAGCCACACCTAGGTTAACGTGCAAGCACAGGTTATGATGTCACTTCGGCAGATAACGTTATTTAACTATACTTATCGCCACACGCCCTGGATCAGTGACATACATGCACCGGGAGATGTCTTTGCGGACATTCTAAACCAACAACACAAAATTGAATTAAAGCATCCTGTTTTCGCAAATACATATCACTTGTAGAAACCGCATGCCCAAATTATGAAAAATCCCAAATAGACATTTTTCAGTTTATATGAATAATTTTGCCAGGTGATTGATAAAGACACACGTGTACACATTCAGTGCCAGACTGCCTACGAGTCGGCGCCTCAAAATTAATTAACGTTGGTACTCTTAGATATTATTATTTTTCACAAAAGATGTCTGTTCAATATATTTTCAATGACTGACGCGTAACTCACCTTCCTGGGCCAACACTGCCGTTAGACCGATAATTAACATAAGTGTCTTCATTTCTGTTTTTCAATCAGGGAATATTTCTGTAAAAAAGTACAAGTCCCAAAAGTGCGGAGTCTTTGAAAAAAATCGGGAAGTGTGCGTTTTGAAGTCTCACTGGTCAAATATTTCGTTGTTAGGGTGGTGCCATAGCCTTGTAATGACGGGGACATGTATCGACTTATTTAAAATGTGACATTATCTCTATAATACAATATAATTGTAGAGATGAAGTATACATTGGAGTATACTTTGTATAATGTCCAGAACTAGGCCTTGTTTGTTCAAAGTTGCCGCAATTACGACAACGAACACACTATATGAAATTTACATAAAAAAAGTCACATCGTACTGTAAAAGTCTCTAAAACGTGGTATCAAGCATACACCCCAATAAAAACTCATTGCCGATCGTAAATCACTTTGCAACGTAAGAGCGCCGAAGACTATACCTACCTTAAAGTAGCTGCACGGTCGACTGACTCTGTACAACGATCGTTTCTTTACTTAATACTAAATCTGCTGTCACCTAAATGTACAGATACAAACTAAAACAAGATAAAGTGGTGACATTCTGTGATGGGACGGCTGTGTTAGGGACGAGCTATAAGGGGGCGAAAAATTATTTCACCTTTTGCCCCCGAACACATGTACCGTGAACATAGTTAGGTTGCTATGTGGACAGGGTGGGAACTAGTTGAAGCCCGTGTCAGTTTATGAACTGTGTACATATATGGCTGATCACTTTTTTCGAAAAAAACATGAAATAACCAACCCCAAGAAAAGAATATTTTCAACACACTCAAACATACAATTAAAAAAGCATTATGGAAAAAAATGAATATGCCAGTGCGCATGCGCCCTTAAGGTAGCGGGACTATTATTTGCATACTTGTTTTCATCTTCTAATTGTGACCAAATGACTACAAATAGACCCAGGAAAGTATATATTTTTGGAATCGTTAGACGTCAAGCTTTTCAAAAGTGTGTTTTTCATGCCCGTATCTGCATTCTACGGTGCGTTACTTAATCAAAAGTGAAAAATTACTTTTTTTGTAAAAAAAATAATTACGCATTTATGCTGGTGATAGGAAGTTTATTTTTCACTTCTCCTAGTTGTTCAATAGTGTGGTAAACTGAATGTGTCTGGTCAGTTTTATTCAAGCAACGCGTTTTGAAAAGTAATGTTCTGAATTTTAATTTCTGTTTTAGTCGCATTGCCCCCAACTTAAACCACAACACATTAGTAAATAATCCATGAAATAGTTTGTCTGGACATATTCAAGTTCCTCTCATTGTCACCTTAAAGCTGTGAAATCCGATGACAATAAGTATACGTCATTTTTTGTTAAAGACCTTGTATTTTGAAAAACATAAACTCCTAGAAAACGTCCATGAAGTCACAGCAAAGATGTTCAAGCTTGTTTATCTGTTTATATTCAAGGTCTGTTTTAACATGTGTAGGGACATCCAAATGTGTAAGGCTATTGGAAACCAAAAAAATGAAGGAATGGAATAGCTATTATTCGATAAAATCGGCAGGTGAGAACACCAAAATCAATGATTTTTTTCAGTGGCTGTGTGACCTTGTGTCTGACACATTCATATGCAAATGACTAATCTGTGAAATAAACAGGGGCGGAGACAAACCACTCAAATGTTTGGAAACACTCATTGTGTGTCAGAAAGCTACTGATAACGCATCCTAACATTGCTTTGTCTTGAGTTAATCTTTGAAACTTATAGGCACACAGATTAAACCTGTGTTGTTGTTTTTGGAAAACACAACTGAAGCTGCCTTGCTTCCCATCAGAAATTCTACATTTTAACCAACTTACATGACATTCTATGTTACGTTGACTTTATCAGATGAAAGTTTATAGTGCATTTCATCAATTAATAAATAAATGTGAAAATCGTAATTTTCAACACAAATAATAGTCTCGCTACCTTAAATTGGTCGTAAGCATGGTAAAATCCCAAGTAAACGTTGTAATAGCGCTTCTTGTTCGTCGAACGAATCGCGTTCACTGCCAGAAGAACGTTTTCGTTTTACAATGCATCACCCTCTATATTACTAATTATCAAAACACAATATTAGTTATACAACATTGTCTGAACATTCTAAATATTCACAAGTTGATACTTACATCCTTATAAATCATCTGAAAAAAATGAGAAAAATTCACACTTATAGGAATATGTTTAAGGAATTTTACATTATATGGGTGTTTTATAAGACACATACTGTTCATATTATTCATACTGTAAGTGCAAATAATGCTATTGGATGGCGCTGTAACCGTGTACAATTTGATTCGATCGGTCGTGTCACAACATGGGTGCGGGCACAAGCGACAAGGAATGTGTTTTTTGATGTTTGATACGCCGGGTGACGATTGTGTTTTAATATCGTATTCAATCACATTGTTTTAAAACATATGAACGTTGTCTGTTATTTATTGTAGAGGAAAAAGTGATAATTCATTTTATTCTCGATCGCAGGTAATCCATCGTATCGTAGAAGGACTAGCAACGAAATATGCGTGATTATAGTATCGACGGAATGATGTTCATTTCAGACCACAATATATGTAAACAATGTGAACAAATATTTGAGTCGTTATTCTAAAATATGGATTCACAAAGTTTCCACACAGTAAAGTAAATTAGGCACTCGTGTTTCACCGCATTCAGCGCGAGAAAGCCCTATAGGTTTGAAGTTGAACAATGTGACGTCAGTCCGTGGTCGAAAATACTATATAATTGATTGACTGGTTCCCGACTCAAGTGCCATGACGTACCAAGTCACAAGAGGCCGGTAACTAGTAACGAATCCGGCATTCTGATTGGTCCGTCACTTTCCCTTGGTTACCTGACGTCAGCGCTTACGCTCGAGGTCCTAGAGAAGGGGTTTTATTTTACTCTCGAAAGGCTGGGCGAATATAAAACTGTTTTTTTTTTGGTTATAAATTTGCACAGAAACAGCGAGAAATGCCAGAAAACACCTCACATATGTAAGTCTAAGCAGGCAGAATATATGGGCATGGCGTAATGAAGACTCGTTCACAAAAAACGAATATTAGACCGTTTTCACTTAGTCACGTGACTTTGGGCCTGTATCCCGGCCCAGTGGAACAATATGGCGATTACTAATTACCTGCGTCCTACTTGTCATTCGCAAGGGACGCCGGGAACCAGCGAACAGAATTAGGCGAGTCGAACTGTTAATAAATTAGCTGGTATCTTTAAACAATGAGGGCGTCGTTCGTCGAACGCCAGAAAATACACAGGTCAGTGTTCATTGTCAATATATGCCATATTTCCAACTCGGATAATTCGATGATCATGAAATATTGTTAAATGTTCACTATTGTACATGAAGAGACAAAAGGAGATGGCAGCAAGGTTGATTAAAAATACCATTTGTTGAGGATCATCACTAAATAAACATATTCACGACTGTATTTTCCTTCTTTCAAAGACACCGTGGAACATATTGTAATATCTGTTTGTGGACAAACACATCCAAAATATAAGAACAGTATTGGACAAACATTGAAACCACGAATAATCATTGCATCCTTACAGATTGATCTAGCAGTGCAAATGCATCACTTGTATTAGTGTATTTCCTTGAGGACATAATTCACAATATTGGGTATGTAACGTCATATTGTGCTGTGCCCCGGTTTGAAAAGAATGCTACAAACCGTTAGGTGAAGACATAGATGTTTTTGATATGCTATTGATCACAGCATTATTACCATAGACGGTAAAGACACATGTCATGGGATGGAATTGGCATGGCAACTATGTTGACTCTAGGGAAGAATGCTATTCACCTTGCCAACAAGCAACACATTCCAGCATGTAAGGTGGATAGATATCATAGAGTAACGATTTTTCACCAATACCCTTGGAAACATTAAACGTTAAGTCCTTAAGTCTGTGACAAGGGAGCCGATATACTATGAGAGTTTTTACCCCATTTACAACAGTTAATCCTTCACCAGTCGCACTTCATAGACAGACCTTCATTCAATAATTAGAGAAGGATTGACATGTCCTCTGGTGACAAAAAGTGCAATCCGTTCATTAGTAATCTTGCCTAAAGTTACCATATTACTCAACCAACGACGTTTAATCAACAACTGTAATGGAATGCATTAGGGCTTCATCACTGCTGAATAGCGACTTGATTAAAGAAGCTTGTTCTAATGCGTGGTATTTTCCACACATTCTTGAGTCTGCTTCGAGAAATAAGTACACTGATGGCGGTTTTGTTGCAAATGCTGCAGCACAGTCAGTTGCACTGTAAAGATGATAAAAAGAGACCGAAGCACACAGAAAGTTTGAAGGCGACACGCATGTTATTTGGCGCATACATCTGGTCCGTGCAGGTCTCGGTTTTATTCTTCTCAAACATGCAAACACATGTGGCTTTTACTAATGATGGCAAGATGACAGACAAACATTAATCATTGTAAACATGCAGAATCTTCAATGATCTGACATACGCCACAAGCTATCAAGACAACGAATCAACCAAAACCAAGGTTAAAGGAGTTGTATCTCATATTTCAATGTTATTTTCACATTCACTCATTTACTATGTCACTTATTGAGACGTAGTATCGATGGCATAGCGGTGAAAGACGATGCCAAGGCTCCGGGTAATCTGTCAAGCTTGCTCATTGAACGATCTTGCCCCACCATTACAGCGATTCTTTGTCGGGTTCAAGACTGAAATGTATCATTAAAGGAGGTGAGATATACCCGTCATCCTTTCAGATGAAAAATATAATAATAAAACAAAACGCCGACAAGCCTCAACTAGTCCTTGCCACTAAAGGAAAATGGGAAATAATGTAATGGCATTCTAAACATAGTACTAAAACATTAGCATAACACATTCCATCCCTTCCGTCGATTTTCAAATGTTAAATTTCGTTTCCTTCATATCTATATGTGAAAGTATTTTATGCGTATTAATATAATCGTTATCACCTGACTTCAATAAACACAATATTTATTTCATTTTGTCGTACACCAATGAAACGATGAAAATCGGCGTCAATAGTTACTTCCGGTTGAGAACGACACTTTCAAGTACTTTTGAAATAAATAGATACGAACCCCGTACAACCAATTTGAGTTACTGCTAAGGTACAGGGGAAAGGACTGCAAATATTTCGTTACTATATGTGGCGCCATCAAGCGTCAAAGTGATTTTCTCATATTTGTAAGTGACGACGTTCACATCGTCGATATTGATTTGAAGTGTGGTCCATCAATAAAAGTACGTTGCTAAATGATGAACGAGTAGAAGAGTTGTATACAACAATTTACAATCTACGTAATTGTGACGTCACAAGGATTGGTAATATTAATGTCAGTAGCAAATTAAGACTAACATTTGCTTCTCTTTTGGGCAAAACGGTCACAGAATTGAAATAGAATTTGTGTATTTTGTCAATTTGTGGACATATG